ATCATTATGTAAGTTATATAAATAGCATTATTTAAGTTATATAAATACTATCATATTTATTGGCATGGGGGTGATGCAACGTCAATTAATGTCAATTAATGTCAATTAATGTCAATTAATATCAATTAATGTCAATTAATGTCAATGTCAGTTTTGCAAAATTATGGAATACTGACATTAATTGACACGATATTTTTCGACCAGAGATTATGTAGTTCTACCATATTTTTAGCACTTTAGAACGTTTATATCATCAATTTATTCACTACTATCACATATGGAAATGTGAAATGTGAAAAAAATTAAGATCATTAAACAATAAAACTAAAATAATACGGTTTTCCAAAATTTAATTTTCTTAAATGGGCGTGGCCATCCAAGGGCGTGGTTCTCAACATCATCAGAACTTAAAACCCACATTAAACGAAATGCCTTCATGACATTTATATTTGAATAACGAATCTTAAACAGTTAACATTACTCCTTCATACTAAAAAAGCCGATTCTAGATATTTTACCTGTATAAGAAACCAATAAAATATGGGCGTGGCCGGTGGGGACCGAAGATGGAAGAGTTGGAAGCTGACATTTTTTTTGGTGGTCTTTGAACCTAAGGATCAACAGATAAGAACATACTCATAATTATTCAAGGACATTTTGTTTTTTGGAACCGGTCTAACTTACATAGACGTGAATATCTTGAATATTTATCGAATAATGATAATCTCAAATTTCAAGACAAATTAATGTCAATTAATGTCAATTAATGTCAATTAATGTCAATTAATGTCAATTAATGTCAATTAATGTCAATTAATGTCAATTAATGTCAATTAATGTCAATGTCAGTTTGGGGTTTTTATGGAATACTGACATTAATTGACGTTGCATCACCCCCATTGGCATCTGATTGAAATATTTTAAAGATTGAACAACACACGCGACGGCTGCAATGAAGTAAAAAAAATGTTAACAGAAAAAAACAGAAATTAAACAGAAATCAAATAAATAACAATGCCAACTCAGAAATTAACTCTGGCCGTGTGTGTTTTTTTGGGTTGGAAAACGTCCAGGTTCCAAACTTCAGTAACCACGTACAAGTCAATACTCACACCTAAGTACACACACATAAACGGAGTTATGACGTAGCTGCGTGTTTACCACGCCTTTCACATTAGTATAGACCTGTAATTACATGCGCATAACTTGTAACTACATGCACATAACTTGTAGACACGTGCGCATAGCACACGTACAGTTATACATGATATGTCTCTGAACTCTTGTATGTATCGTAAACGGTGGTACGAGCGGATACCACTGCCGGTACAGCGCCGGTACAGCGCCGGTATAACGCCGGTCCTGTGCCGGAAGAGCGCCGGTCCTGCGCCGGAAGAGCGCCGGTCCTGCGCCGGAAGAGCGCCGGTCCTGAGCCGGTATAGCGCCGGTCCTGAGCCGGTATAGCGCCGGTAAAGCGCCGGTAGTGATAAAATAAGTTAATAATACGAATTATAAGACACGCAACCAAGAGGATCTTGCCCAACCCACAAGTTTCAGCACAGGAGACAGTGAACAAGTGACTAACAAGTGATTAACGAGCGATTACCACTCAATTAACTAATTACCACTCAATTAACTAATTACCGCTCAAATGCATGATACAGTGTCTAGGAGAGCTAGCGTAATACAACAGGAGGGGTGAGAAAGTAGCTGCAGGTGTTTTGTTAAAAAGACACATTATCGTAACTGTGACGCACCGTGGGAAATCACGTGCTAGAAGACTGGTTACCATGGTGATTAACGTGGTTACCATGGCTACTAACGTGGTTGCAGACCAAGTAAGAGGGCTGTAGACTCTCAACTGCTGTAATTATCTGTAATTGACTGTAATTAACTGCAGCTAATTGTCAGTATTGTCTATCTCAATCTTTTATCTGACTACCTGTGGTCAGCTTTAGGTATTACATATAATATATAGGGGACTAGTAACTATGTAACTATGCTTATGCAGATTCATTGATGATCTTAGTTTGTTTAAAATGAAACAGCAGCAAAAAGTAAAAACACTAGTTTATACTAGTTTATATTTTGAGGAACTTTAGAGAGTTTTATGATCTTAACTTTCGAATCTAATGCATTATAGAGGGTTCATAATCTCCTTACAGCACAATATACTAACCCGTAAATAACGTGACCACTCTATATTGTGACATGTGAGCTAGTGGAACACATACCCCGCACTGCTGTATACTCACGTCTACACATACCCACTATACATTGTGGGGTATTGACAGTTCATTCGGTGTCAAGGGATCTATAAATATCAACAAAACGTCACAAGAAAATAACCAAACTGTGGGCAAGAATAAATCATGACTAGCTTAAAATTAGTAAACAAGAGTAAATAACCACTAACTATTTATAGCTATACAAATTTATAAATTAGTAAACAATATTAAATCATTACTAGCTATAAATCATTCAAATAAATCAGTTAACAAGAATGCATCATAACGCACAAACCTAAACCTCTACTACGACTACTACTACCACTGAAGGTTTAAAACAAGGTTTAAAACAAGGTTTAAAACAAGGTTTAAAACAAGGTTCTGCTTTCTGGTATGAAGCGGCGGGTGGTTCAGTAAAAGTAGAGAGCTGATTAGAATACACTGTTATAATGTGTATTCTATAATCTGGACTACAGCGGGCTGTATTATCTGCTAGCTACCACTACCATGACAACAGTCAGATAGTAGACCAATGACACGTGACACGTGACATAATGGCACGTGACACGCAGAGCGTCTGATTTACAAGTCTTCTTATGTATAATACAGAACTAGTGATCTGGGATCTAGACTATGTATCAGTAAACATGAACAATTAACCTCTGAACGTTAGCAATGTTTAATGTTCAATGTTCCATGTTCAATGTTCAATGTTCAATGTTCAATGTTCAATGTTCAATGTTCAATGTTCAACGTTCTATATTCAATGTTCAATGTTCAATGTTCAATGTTCAATGTTCAATGTTCAACGTTCTATATTCAATGTTCAATGTTCAATGTTCAATGTTCAATGTTCAACGTTCTATATTCAATGTTCAATGTTCAATGTTCAATGTTCAATGTTCAATGTTCTATGTTCTATGTTCAATGTTCATGGACTCAATTATAAACCAGATAATTCACAATGTTTGCAGATCTCCTGATCACAGTTTCCAGTTAACCAGGAAAGAAGTAAAGCTTGTAGCTGGGAGATAACAGTGCAGTTTATATCCAACAAGGCGTAGTCAGTTCAGTGGGGGACCATCATAAGTAGGTTAAGGTAACTTTAGCCCCCCCCCCCCCTGCCCCCTTAAGGTAACTTCAGGCCCCCCTGCCCCCTTAAGGTAACTTCATGCCCCCTGCCCCCTTAAGGGGGCCGGGGGGGGGTCTTCATCAAAATTATCTCGAAATTGATTTTATAATTGTTTCTGATAGAGGGGAGTGATATCTATCAGCTGCTTTTGGTCCCATGGAAAAATATTGTTCCTAGCCGAAGTTATCGCTGGTCAAAGGTCAGCGCTCATGTGTAATTGTATTGCGCGAGCGATTTTCAATCGCGCGTCCTGAAAATCGAGTCTAAAAATCTATCTTCTCCTACATTTTTTGAGCAAACACCCTGAAACTTTCAGGATATGTTCTAGGGATCATTTAGAAGAGAAGTATCGAGCCGAATTTTGAGATAGGCCTCAGAAAATTTTTAAATCGATTTTGAAAATCTTGGACCTGGAAAAATCGTCAAAAAATGAGGTCCAAGATTTTCAAAATCGAATTAAAAATTTTCTGAGGCCTATCTCAAAATTCGGCTCGATACTTCTCTTCTAAATGATCCTTAGAACATATCCTGAAAGTTTCAGGGTGATTGCTCAAAAAATGTAGGAGAAGATAGATTTTTAGACTCGATTTTCAGGACGCGCGATTGAAAATCACTCGCGCAATACAATTACACATGAGCGCTGACCTTTGACCAGCGATAATTTCGGCTAGGAACAATATTTTTCCATGGGACTAAAAGTAGCTGATAGATATCACTCCCCTCTATCAAAAACAACTATAAAATCAATTTCGAGAGAATTTTGATGAAGACCCCCCCCGGCCCCCTTAAGGTAACTTCAGCCCCCCCCCCTGCCCCCTTAAGGTAAATTCAGGCCCCCCTGCCCCCTTAAGGTAACTTCAGGCCCCCCCTGCCCCCTTAAGGTAACTTCAGCCCCCCCCCCCCCTCTGCCCCCTTAACCTGCCAGTACTCGATACCAGATATGCTAATATGGATAGTTAGGTGACGAAACTTTTGCTAATAAGGTGTGTTTGAACAGTAGACCTACTGAGACCAGTGCTTAATAAGTGCCGTAGTCTGACAGGGAACACCTCCTCGTCACAGCTACACTGGTTACCATGACAACTACACTAGTTTGAACAGTAGACCTGTGCCGTAGTGTGACAGGGAACACTGAACAGGTCCTCGTCACAGCTGGTCTAAGCGGACAATATAATCATCGAACTGAGATCAGCTATTTGTAATAAATAGCAGGGGGCGGGCATACCGATCATACCATAAACCTATCACCCAGATTGACGGAGATATAATTATCTATAAATATCTCCAGGTAGTTTATTCCTTGATTACCCTGGGTAACTATAATACTGCACTTTAATTAGGTGTGTTAATTGTTGATCAGTACTAATCATAAGTCTTCTTAATTACTAGAGATAAAACTCGGAGCTAGTAATTAAACCGGCAAAATATTCTTCAAGTTGGGGACCAAGGATAAAAACAATGATATTTTCATAGCAACTACATGAAAAATACACTGGTAACCATGACAACTACACTGGTTACCATGACAACTACACGGGTTACCATGACAACTGCACTAGTAACCATGACAACTACAATAGTTACCATGACAACTACACAAGTTACCATGACAACTACACAAGTTATATGACAACACATACCTATCAAGGCTTTCTGCTACTGCACCATGTTCCCCCGATTTATCGGAATAAGCACGTTCAGTTAATTTAGAGTCTCCGTCAGTCATCCTCATTTTTAACGATTCTGAGAAACAAGGATATATATAATATATATAATAAGGAAACAAGTCTCAAGTTTCATAGCCAAACCTATAAACTGAACTACAGAAAAACAAAAGTATCAACAGATATTGAGTAGGTTAAGATTTATCGTAATTTACAATATGAGAGATTAAAGGATAATTCGTACCGATAACTCTGTTTTTCTCTTCTAACTCTGCTTTCTGTGCGAGAATAACTTCGTCAGAGTTATTACTATGACTGCTCATCTTACTCGAGCTGAAATCATAACCTTATTAGATACTTAATTAGTTAATTGATAATTAACAGCTGTAATTAATTAGTTAATTGGCAGTTAACGCCTGGTACAAGGAACGGTCCGTCATATTTCATTATAATCACGAACCGGAAATAGCATATTAAATGGTCTGTTCATTCTGTTCATTACTCGGAAAGTAAGTTAGCACGGTCATTGGTCAGACGACCAGTATAGTTGTCATGGCGACCAGTACTTTTAACTGTCGGTCTGTCCGTTATTTTGTCGGTCAGTCGGTCAGTATCGGTCATTTTCTTGAAATGGTCCTCAAGCTTGCACACAGCGCTCTCTACGTCAGTCAAGTCGTGTAGTGACATATAGTATAACCTACATTGCAGGAATTTTAACTATTAGCAATGTTAAAAATTATGCCAGTATCGTCAGAAAATTCCCACAGACATCAGAGTAAAACAAGATCGATTCTCGTTAGATAATCGCTGAATTTACCTAAGTCATTAAGAAAGGAGCCCGGTATTAACTGTTAAAGATATATCCGTTCAAAGTAAAGTACACGTACGAACAATGAAACATTGGTCTTTGAGTTTTCTTTCAATTGTGATCCACAGAAGTAAGAAGTAACCATGACAACTTATTCAACACCTTGAAGCTGGGCTTACATTTTTGTGTTCGTTTACACGCCATAAAATTGATTCAGAAGATCTATACAATATATTCGATTGAAGGAAAGCTATATCTGAACCCTGCAAAAAATGCGACAAAAATTATCACCAAAGAAAATAGTACTTTCGATAAAAAACAAGAAAAAAAGATATTTCAGTATGACTTAATGTTTTTTGTTTTTTTAATAAAACAAACCTGTGTCTCCTGTTGTAGGGGTTGTAAGCAGGCTCTGTGTACTGGTTATTATAAGGTTCAGGGTAAGATGCTGGTCCACCGTCACCCTCCGTCCTCTCTGGGATTACAAACAGAGTCACATTCCGAGCATTCTTAGCATTCATTGTCACCATAACAACAACAACAAACAAGAACTCTTATCATTATGACATGACAAGAGTTTATCGGGGATACGACAACAGAAGGTAACGACTACACACACTAAAGTATATATATGGTTATGGATATGGACACAACAAGGGAGCCAAGGACAGGACTTGTTAAGATATACCGTGGTCACGTCTGGTAGGTCTGATGTAAGAGATACAACAGGAGTTAAACATTATTATACAGTGTTATGACAGGTACTGCAGATATCTAACCGCTAACACACTTTTAACACAAACTGTAAATTTTGTAGGCAAGAGTGAGAGGACGCATCACGATATGCGCGACACGTGCAGTCACTACAGTGCCACAAGTGTCGTCAGGATAACAAGCTCATTGGTTACCATGACGACTGCATTGGTTACCATGACAACTCGCTGGTTACCATGACAACTACACCGGTTACCATGATAAGTACACTGGTTAACATGACAACTACACTGGTTACCATGACAACTACACCGGTTACCATGATAAGTACACTGGTTACCATGACAACTACACTGGTTACCATGATAACTACACTGGTTACCATGACAAATACACTGGTTACCATGACAACTACATACCATGTCCAGGTACTGGATAGTGCCCGTATCCAGGTTGTCCGTTGTACTCCAGTCTGGAGCAACTACCCCACTTTCTGACGTCACCGTTCTGCCCCTCCCCTGATCTTCCTACTGACTGAAATAAAGAAAATTTAACCCCAAATTTTTCTAGATATCGGTCCTGTATACTTGTACATCAACTTAGACGTTGAATAATATCATACCACCAAAATGCCACCTACTGTATTTGAGGTATGAAATGATTTGCAGAAAACATAGTGGGTATGAACTACTGATATGAACTGACATTGTACTGTAAGTCAGACTGACAGGCCTTTAACACACGTTGTTGCACATGATTTCATCTATTTTCACCTAGTTAACTAGAATACTTGATAAATACGTTAATAACACCAGATAGATGACTTAACTGGAGTTGACAGAAATTTTAAAACTACCGCTGCGCTGGGTTAAAAATCGCGTTTTGAATCGCAAAATTCGTACAAATGTTAGCTAAATCCACGGTATGAGCATTAATTTTATGGGACATATTATATTTTATCAAAATTGAAGCCTAATGGAATTCAGTGCGCGGAATCATTATAACACGAAGCCAAGTTTTGACAAACAGGCGTGGTCGCAACTCATACAGCCGAGTCATTGACATTACATTATCTTTAAATGTGGACTTCTTATTAGCATCACCCTACTAAGTGTCGATGAATGTATAACTTGGCAAATAACTGCGAATACCTAATGGATAACAAGGAAATATTCGAGGAATGGGTTGCGGAATCAATAGGCGTTAAGGTGTGAGGAATGCGGTTCAACCAGAACCTGAATTTCCGGCAAAGTGACAAATATGTGGACTAGAAAAAGAGCGAAACTTTGTTAAAACCATACTTGTGGAGAAGGGAAGGCCAAGGTGGTCTGGTTTATAGGAGTATACAACACAGTGTCATCAATACAAGATGTGACGTTGTTATCGTCTCTAGTGTAGTCTGCTCCGTTTCCTATGACGTCATCACGCTTGTTTATGACGTCATCAAAGGAGGGATGGTTGTAGTGGATGATGGGGGAGGGTAGATTAGGCTTTACGGCGGATTGTAGAGTTATTTGAGGAGGTCTGGTGGGAGACTTGGTCAACGAGGGAGTTACTTTTGGAGGGAGAACAGAGGGTCGACCCAGAGATTTGGGGACGTTATATGTTGCAGTGGTCGGGGCCTTAATGGGTGAAATTGTCTTGTTTTTGATATGTGTTCTGAGTTTTTCATCCAACTTGGCGTTCTTGCGAGATAACGGATCAGGCCGGCCTAGAGAACGGCTTTTGGAGGTCAGATTTTTACTGATGAATTTAGAGAAGGAAGTATTGTATTTCTTGTTTATTTTCTCGTTGTCCCGCTTCAGATCAGCAACCGTAGAGTCACGTGACTTCGCATGCTCACGAGTATATGAGTTGCTGCGTGACTTGTCACGTGACGGCGGAATCTCACGCGTTACATCGTTATCATCACGCGTCTTAGAGAGCATAGAATCATCAGCCGTAGGATGAGATACTAGCACGCTGTTAGCCCTCTTGAACCGCAATGATCCACCAAACTGTCGCTTTCTTTTGATCACATTCATCCCGTTTTCTTGGTCACCCTCAAAAACTCTCGCTTCAGGAGTCACTGCTTTCAGTTTCACTATCTCGGGTTTTAAATTACCCTTGGGAGTCACAGCTTTCAATTTCACTAACTCAGGTTTTAGGTTACACTTGGGAGACTTATCAGATGTGTTACTGCAGTTACCAAGCTTGTCACGTGGGTTACTAAGCTGGTCACGTGGGTTGCTAAGTTGGTTACTAGGGTGACTGAGCTGATTACTAGGGTGATTACCAGGGTTACTAAGCAGGTTCTTGTAATGGGGACTGAGTTTAACAGGTCTGATACTATCGTTATCATAAGCAGCTATATAAGCAGCTTGAGTACCACGAACAAGATCATCTGGAGACACAGGAATTGGAGTGATAGGGGTCATGTGTGACCTTAATGTATAAGTCGGCCTCCAAGTGGGCCGCACCGGTCGTGGTCCTAGAGGATTGGGAATGCGGCGAGGAAACATCGGACATGCAACGTGAAAACAATTCAGAAAGATAACCAGTACCCGATATACAGGGTTTAATACAGCGTGTTAATCAAAGCAATTGTGTGGATCACGTGACAGGCAACGCGCAGAGCTGACATGAGAGTATTGTAAAAAGCACGTGGGCGTCACGTGGTGTCACGTGGTTCTGATAGATAATTTTGATTGGCCGGGGAGGTGAGGCAGTGGATTGTTAAACTTTTGAGTGTATGGATTTGGTGTAATTACCCTACGATATCTTGAATATAATGTGTACATTGAACAGAATGTTTGAGATGGTTTCAGCGGTGTGGTAATTAGTAAAATCTAGTCGGGTACAGTTTTCAGTACACATTCTCTATATTGGGTATTAAAGACTGTGTTTTAAGTCGAAGCTGAACAATATTGAGTGTAAGATTTTGACATTGAAATTATGATTCAATCCCATAAATATAAGAAAAAAATAATTATGGCGGTAAGAATTAAGCAGCGCTAATATCTGATTTATTTTGACTAGGATAGAAGCCAAATGTGAAATAAATAAATTATTCCGATCAGTTGACTACAGTCTAGGAAGTAAGCACACGTGACAGCTTCCTGCTCGTTAGATTGGCTGCTGATTGGACATCAACCCCGCTGTCATTATGTAAAACAAGGTTGTGCACCTCCTTAATTACTGTAGTCGAGTACAATTATTCAGATATTACGACAACTATAAAGTTGTCATTGCAACCAATGTAGTTGTCATGGTAACCAGATAAGTAAGAACTTACCTCTGCTCTCTCTCTCGTCTTAACAAACTGATCCAACCCTCCGTCTCCCGGAGGTGGACTAGCAACAGGAGTAGAGCATCTGTCTCTCTCCCTCTCTCCTCCTCCTATAGTCCTCCTCCTCACTATCCCATATCCTCCTCTCCGAGAGTTACACGAGTTAGAGGAGCCGGAGGAGGAGCTGTATCCGCTCTCAAATGAGTTCTTCTGAACGCGGTCACGTGGGTTGCTAAGCTGGTCACGTGGGTTGCTAAGCTGGTCACGTGGGTTGCTAAGCTGGTCACGTGGGTTGCTAAGCTGGTCACGTGGGTTGCTAAGCTGGTCACGTGGGTTGCTTAGCTGGTCACGGGGGTACGGGGAGTCGAGTGGTTGGGGCGAGGTGACGCGGGAACTGGAGGTTGAGGTCGGGTGTCGAGAGTCGTAGGAGCATACGTTGAGATAAGGTTCGTTCGTACATAGTTGAGGTTCAGAAATAGAGGAGTCGACATGCCTCATTAGGTTTAAGTTCCTCGGGGCTGGTTGAGGACGTGGTCAGTGTGGGAGCCGTCCTCGAACGTTTCAAAGGGGAGAGGGTTAGGGGAGGCAGACCTGACTCGCTCGAAACCCTGCACAACAGTGTCTAAAGTATTCCGTCTGAGGGCAGAGTGTAACTGGTGAGGTTGGGGCGACACTGACCTGGGACGGGAGGTCACGTGAGCAAGAGACAGGTTTGAGGAGGTCATGGGTGAGTTAGGGACACTGGAGGGGAGAGAGTTGGTGTGAGTTAGATTAGCACGGTAGGGGTGGTCAGGTTGGTAACTGGCTGCCATGGGGTTCAGTCTGGAGGAGGACCTGTTGGTGTTCTGGACCCCACGGTTACGAGAGAGAGGGTGAGGTGTGGAAGGGAGCGAGGTTACAGACCTCAGGTTCTCTGAGATGTTCCGGAGATTGTGAGGGTTGTTTCTACGGTCGTTGAAGTGGCCGAGCAGCGAGCGCTGGTGAAGGAAGGGAGAGTCTCGCTGGGGTACCATGGTCGAGGTAGGATTGGAGGTGCCTTCTGGGCTCAGTAGTTTGGGGGTGGTGGGCTCACTCCGTGTTCCACTCCAGAGGTTCAAACCCTCACGAGGCCGGGGAGGTGGGTCATGATCACGTGACTCAAACGTGAACACACCGCCAGTGGTCCGAGCTAGGGGTGACTGAGGGTAGCCCCGGTTATTGTAGCTTTGTGGGGGAGACATGGTACGTGACGTCACCTCACGTGATGTTACCTCACGTGACGTCACTTCACGGAACGGAGCATTATCTCGTGATTGGTGGACAGTACGTTGGGGTCCTCTCGAGAATGGGTGCGGAGGGTGGTTACCATGGTTACCATAGAGCTGGTCACGGTCACGTGTAGCAGGACCGCTCACTTGAACATACGGATTTGTATTAGAGTTCTTCTGACCGCTAACCTTCCTAGATCTGTTGTTACTGTTATTATTGTTTCTCCTGGAATCCAGAGACCTGGTTCTGGTGACTGGATGATGGTTGGGCTGCATCTTATTATCACTTCGTTAACCTCGACACACTTTCTTTTATCCACAATTATCTCTACCCAGTGAGGTTTATCCAAAACAAGGTCTCAAGCGTGTCTCCAGCGTGTCTCTTTAGTTTCGCCAGCTTCCTTATTTTAGCCGGAGTTTCCCTGTTCAAGCACTACTTATAACCTAGAGTTGATAAAGAGTTTCAGAGATACAGCTGACAGATGAGATCATGAAATAAAATAGTGACAGAAAGTTTGAAAATTAACACTGTACTATGATGTAAGATGAGGTAAGCCTAAGATGAGGTACATAGATGTAGGCTTATATCTATAAGATCATTGAAAATAACAGCCTGAAACTGGCTCCGGGTACGGATAAATCTCAGATAAGAGGCCACTTCGACAACACTCTCAATAAAGTGACAAAACTAACTGGAGTGCTACAAAGTGGTGCTCGTGCCAGTGTCACAGTGTGTATAACTGTGTGTGTCACAGTGTGTGTCACAGTGTGTGTCACAGTGTGTGTTACAGTGTGTGTCACAGTGTGTGTCACAGTGTGTGTCACAGTGTGTGTCACAGTGTGTAACTAACTGTAACAGAGATACTGGTAGAAATAAAATACCAGCGAGGAAACAAAACTGAAAGCGGAGGAAAATAAAACCACAGTCCATGGGTGATTTTGAACACTAGTAAAACAGATTCTGAACAAGTAATGTAACTGTCACTCAGGGAAACCAGCCGAGCGCTAATAAATAAATCAGTGAATCATAAAAAAACGAAAATTTAAAATTCCCACATACTCGTCCGCACGTCTAATGATAAAACATATATACGTCAAGATAATAGACAAATGACAAATTACAATCCTCCGGACGAATTATTGAAGTGGGGATAGCGTGATTTAAGGCTTCTTCTCGAGGAGCAACACACAAACTATACGTGCAATCGTTCGATGGTATCTTCTTGGAGTCATAAACGATAATTAGATGAAAAATTTAGAATACAGCAGTTGGTGATGCTACAGGGGGAGTATGTTAAACTATGTGACTTGAATTGGCATTCTTCGGGTAAAAGTGGATGGCTCAGCAAATTAGTTGATGAAAGCTCACAACGCGGCCGTGGTAAATAATATTATATTATATATATATTATATATATATATAACTATATAATATTATCTGCCATGTGCCAACTCTTAGGACGCAAAATATACAAATTTGAGTACTATGCTGCGTTAACAGATAACAAGAGCACGTATTCTAAAATAGAGTCATGAATCCTGACGGTCTCTGTCAAGTATAGATCGTAAATAAACGTCTTTATTATTTAAAATTTAGCAGCGATGAAAGCTCTGATGGAATATAGTAAAATATTTTTGACTACGAATTTTGACACGTGTATAATTGGTTAGATTTCATGCAGTTATGATATAACTAGTTATGATATAAACAGAGATATTGTAAAGTTTCGAAAGCGTGAAAATTCGAAAGCGTCAATTAGATCATATCAAAATATTGTGATATATTTAACCTTGACGACGTACAGTATTTCAGAAACAACGGAGAAGCAGATGAAATGTCATAGAGATGGAGTTGCATACTCATAGCAGAAATATAGCCGAGATTATGTAGCAGAAATATTGCAGAGATGTAACAGATACATGTAGCAGTGATTTTATATCAGAAATATAGCAGAGATGTAGTCAAACGAAGCGAGATTGTAGCGAAGATGCAGATAGGCTGCAGCCAAGATTAAACGAGATTGTAGCGAAGATGCACCAAATGTAGCCGGCGATGTAGCAAATATGTAGCCGGCGATATTCTCAGAAATATCTCCCACGACTCCAGCAGAAACTTGACTGATGAGACGAGATTTGTCCACAATTAGACCAATTTTGTAATGTCAGTAATCAGTGTCCGACGTAATTCAACAGTTGAACCACGGTGGTAGCTTACACCACACTTCACACTGCCAAAAGAGAGAGAGATACGGATAGATGATAATGATATCGGCAAATGTTAGCATTTAAACTTCAACTAAGAACACCCTTCGAACAGATTATGAAATAGGACATAACATAGCCTGGTGAAGTATGACAACAAGTCTTGGAGTTGGCAACAGTCAGGGGACCTAGCATTTCTCTGCATCGTGGCCGTGGGGCGTTGTTAATACTTTAATAACACACAACATTGTTGAGTGTGGCGGGGCGTTGTTAATACTTTAATAACACACAACATTGTGAAGTGTGGTGGGGCGTTGTTAATACTTTAATAACACACAACATTGTGAAGTGTGGTGGGGCGTTGTTAATACTTTAATAACACACAACATTGTGAAGTTTGGTGGGGCGTTGTTAATACTTTAATAACACACAACATTGTGAAGTGTGGCGGGGCGTTGTTAATACTTTAATAACACACAACATTGTGAAGTGTGGTGGGGCGTTGTTAATACTTTAATAACACACAACATTGTGAAGTGTGGTGGGGCGTTGTTAATACTTTAATAACACACAACATTGTGAAGTGTGGTGGGGCGTTGTTAATACTTTAATAACACACAACATTGTGAAGTGTGGTGGGGCGTTGTTAATACTTTAATAACACACAACATTGTGAAGTGTGGTGGGGCGTTGTTAATACTTTAATAACACACAACATTGTGAAGTGTAGTGGGGCGTTGTTAATACTTTAATAACACACAACATTGTGAAGTGTGACAGTGGGCCTATGTCTTGGCGTATGGTGGGGTGTTGTTAAGTGAGCTGTCCAGCAGTGGAGCTTGCCAAGAACCTGTTTAACACTGGTCCCTCCCTCCCTAGACC